CCAGCTGATGCCAGGGGCTCCAGCATCCCACGCCCTGACCAGTCTGGACCAGCAGCTCCCAGCTGATGCCAGGAGCTCCAGCATCCTTCACCCCAACCAGCCTGGACCAGCAGCTCCCAGCTGATGCCAGGGGCTCCAGCATCCCCTGGGCAGCACTGCAGGGGCTGACCATCCCCGGCTCGGCCAGCACCTCAGCGCCCGGTGCCTCCGCAGGGTGGGTTCCCACCCCGGCAGGTCCAAAGCACGCTCAGGCCTCCTGGCAGAGCCCCGCACAAGGTCCAGCCCAGCCCTGGTCCAGCCTCCTCCACGCTGCTGGGGACGAGGGGCCCAGGGGAGGAACTGACGTGTCGCAGGACGTGCTGCTACAAGCTGTCTGTTTTTGCAGCACCTCCACCGCACGTGCACACAGCGGCCATGTCACCCTCCCCACCGACCGCCTCCATCTGCCCCAGCCCTCCTGCCCCCGGGCTTGCAGCCATCCCAGGAGCGTGGCCAGGAGGCAGTGGTCCCCCAGGCTGCACAACAGCCCTTGGACAGCTGTCCCCTCGTGTGACAGTGGGTGCCATAGCCCCCATCTCAGTGCCATCCTATCACCCAGGCGTGTCCCCAACCCCTGTCTGGGATCCCTGGATTAAAATCCCACACCCTGTCCCAGCAAAGCACCCGCCGGAGCCCCCATGCCCACAGCGAGGGGTCCATCCCGGGGGGGGTTAGGCTGAGCATCACCATCGGTGCAGGCTGGGCAGGACAGCTCTGGCGTTAGGTCCCGTGTCACCCCGCCACCCAAACGTGGCACCGGCACTGTGGGGAGCCCAGTGCCAGCCCCGCCGTCCTCCCAGCACCAACCTGGGCAGATGCTGGGACCTGTATCCCTGGGTGCAGGAGGTGCCACGAGCCCTGGAGAGGATCCTGCCCGACACGGTGCCTCACGGTGCGGGCAGCACCCACGCAGCCCACCCGACTCGAGGAGCTGCAGGAAACCCCGGGGTGAAACCCAAACCCCTCGCCTGGCAACCTCCACCACAAACCCCCCCGCCACGGCTTCACCCAGCCGGCTGACCCGCCGCACAGCTACCGTCAGCCGCCGC